TTTCCCTCAAACCCAGATATTTCCCTGAGCAATCCTTCAGAGAGGCTTAGAGTGTCTTTAGCCTCTCGGACCAGCATCTCATGATACAGCTAGAAGTGCAGCAAACTGGGCGAAGTAAGCCTACGAGGTACTGACGCTAATGTAGCTGTGTTGCAACAGTAACTGTAAAGTTAAAGTAGGAATAAGATCCCAGGGGGCTACTGAAACAGCCATGCAAACATATTGACAGGTTGCAGACTAACAGCACAGATTGTCTCGCTGTGCTTTCAAATTGAAAGATGCCATTTCTTTAATCTTCCTTGCTTAAGACAGAGGGCCTTAGCTGCTTGATGTTGCTGAAGACTGTGAGGATCAGTGAAAATAATTGTCTGCTGGATCACTTAAGCCTTTGAAAGTTCGAAGTTAATTGAACCTGACCAGACTGATCACATTTTAAGTGTGGGCACCTCAACTATTAAGTTGGGATAGCCTAAAATTTCAGGATAAAATTATTAACATTTCAAAAGTTGTGTTCCTATTTGCAAAAGATATATCTGTAATTTTTCTCAGGCGAAGAGATTTTAGATTACAGCTTTTCAATGAAAGCAAACAGTTGCAAAATTAGAAAGCAGATCATTTCTCTTGAATCTTAGCTTTGCACCCCAAACTGGTGCGGGGTCCCGTCTACACTGCAGAGCTGGGGCTAGTGTATGATTAAGCCTCTGACAATCCTGATTTTTTGTTAGTGACATGAACATCACAGCCAGTGATTGATTTCCTGTTACAAGTCACTTTTTAGTGCTCTCCTTTATTCCTGAGCCACCCAGAGATGATCAGTTAATGGATGTGGTTTCTACTTATATATGGCTGGAAGAAAATGTTTTTCTTGTTATAAAACCACGACTGGAGTGTGCAGCTGCCCATGCACAACTGCTTAAATTATTCTCCCCAGAGTATTTTTATTTTTTCCTTTTTAGACATCACTGTAGCTGGAACCATGAGGCTGCAAACATGTTAGTGCTTCCTGCAGGGAAGTTGGTGCTTCCTGTA